ATCCACGAGAGCACTTTTCCCCCAATCCCATGAGCTGCCACTTTCTTTAACATTTCTATGGTGGGGAACTCTATCAAAAGCCTTACTAAAATCAAGTAAATAATATCAAATTCTTATCGTGGTCAACAGCCTAAAAAAGCTTACTGAAGAAAGTTAATAAATTAGTTAGACAAGACTGGCCTCTTGTGAATCCATGCTGAGTATCATTAATCAAGCAAATGCTTATCGAGATGGCTTCTTATAATCTCAGCTATAATTGACTTTTAGTAATTTGCCTACAATTGAGGTGGGGCCCTTTATTGGGCGGTTTTTTGGGAACGGTAACGACTTGTCCCGTTTTAAAAATGGGAAATTTAAACATTAGCCATCTTCCACATATCAGACACTACATCTGTTTGAAGAGATAAATTAAAAATATTAGTTAATGGTTCACAGAGTTCCATTTTGCAATCCTTAAGAACCCTTAAAAAAAACTTCATCAGGACCCGGCGACTTTATTTTGCTTCAGTCTGTCTATCTGCTTCACAACCATTTCACTAGTGACTGTGATGTTACATAATTTATCTTCTTCTAGCCCACAAATAAAAATTAATTACGGGAAATATTGTTAGTGTCTTCCTGTGTAAAAACTGAGAGAAAATAATTATTTAAAATCGAGCACATTTCATTCTTTTTGGGTCAGTAAGGTGCCCCATATTTATTTTTAAGGGGACCTATCTTACCTCTAACTTTTGTTCTAAAGACCTGGAAAAAACTTTTTGGGTTAGTTTTAGAATCCCTAGCAACTTTAATTTCATAGTCCCTTTTAGCTTTTCTATCCCCTTTTTAATGTCCCTCTTAATGTCAATATACTGATTCATAAGATGACCCTCACCTCTTTTGATACGCCTATAAATTCCTTTCTTATGCCCTAGTAGATATTTGAGCCTATTATTCATCCATTTTGGGTCATTTCTATTTGATCTAATTTCTTTATATGGGATAAACGTTCTTTGAGCAGCATGTATAGTGTTCAGAAAACTGTCATATTGATAGCTCTCTTCGTTACCCCAGTCAACAGATGATAAGTGCTCTCTAAGCCCATCGTAATCTGCGACTGTTACTGAGTTATCGCTACTATCGTACTTCCATTCAATGCTAAATGTAATTGATTTGTGGTCGCTAGCACCCAGTTCCCTGAAATTTCTAAATTATTTAAAAAGGGATTCATTGTTTGCCATAACTAAGTCAAGCAGGTTATTTTCCCTTGTAGGTTCTGTCACAAACTGCTTCAAAAAACAATCCTGAACTACTTCTAAGAAGTCGTATGATTCTAAATTCCCAGTCAAGAAATTCCAATCAATATGACTAAAGTTAAAGTCTCCTAGAATTACTACATTATCGTGCCTTGTGGCCTTAACAATTTCCTCCCATAGTAGTCTCCCTTGGTCCCTATCTAAGTTTGGGGATGGTATATCACTCCTAAAATCAGTTTTTTCATGCCCCTCTGAAAATTCTATCCAAACAGACTCTGTATGTGTTACTTCAGACTTAATACCCGTTTTTATGCAACAGTTCAAGTGATCTCGGACATACAATGCCACCCCCCCCCCCTTCCCCGATACTTCATTATTTGGATAATTTAAAACCCTGAAATACATTCCGCAGGATGTCCTGATTTTTAAATTAAACCACGTCTCATTTAAGGAAAATTTCCATCAAGTTCCCTCCCTAAAAACTATCTCAACTCGTCCTTTTTTATCCTGCACTACGGCAATTAGATAAAAAAACATTGAAACTCTCCTTTCCTTTCCCCTTTCCTGCTCATTTCTGTTTTTTACAAACCTATTCTGTCTTATCACCCAAAGTCACTGGTTTTCAATATCTACCTTTCTGCTTATTAAGCCCCCCTTGAACTCGAAAAATTTACCCCCGGGACTTCACTTTTTTCCTCCCAAAAAACCCACACCACAAATTTTCCCCTATTTTTAAAGTCCTAACAGCCCCCCTCCACTGCAGTTGCCAGGCTTCCCCCCCCGACCTAGATAAGTAAACCCCATCCTGCGTAATGTCTTTTTGCCATAGAAGAGGTCCCAGTTGTCAATAAATGTTACCCATTTTCCTTACAGTTTTTTGTCCAGCCAGCAATTGACACCAATTCCCCGGAAAACCATTCTTTCCCAATCCTTCCTGGCAAAATACCACAAGACAGGGTTCCCCCCCAATCGATGTATGCACAAGGCTTATCCCTAAAAAAAAAGGGGGAGTAGATTAAAAAAAGAAAGGCAAGCGCTCCCTTTTCAGGCGACGGAAAAGAATAACAGGCGGCTAAAAAAGGGCCAAAATATTTTAAAGCGTAGGGGGTCACTGGGGCAGAGAAAAAGCAAACATCGAATTGACTAAAGGATCTTAAGGGGAAAAGGAATCGCAGTAAGAACTAAAACCATAAATGAAAACGAAAAAAACCCAAAGATTTCTTCTCCTAGCCCAATTCAAAGTCGAGAATGTCCAGTATTGGGCCCCCACTTAAACAAAAGGGGCCCCCACACGATGAACAAGGAAATGAGCGAGCTACTCAAGTCCCAATTACTCGTTTTTAGCAAGCCCTCACCAGACTGAGAGTCGAAGATCAAAATGAATTTTTATGAGAGAGCCACAGAATTTGGTTAAACAAGCCTATCTGATGTTATCCTCATGCCAAATGATTTCCCAAAACAGGTGATAAATGACATGCCCATGCATTTCTGGCCCAGGGGCAGACTCATGGAACTCCGTGTTCATCAAGAACTGCAAGAAGCCCCTATCACAAGCTTTTACCATCCTATGGAGAGGAGCATGGACACGGGGGTCATTCCACAGTTACTAAAAACAACAGACATAGCCCCACTCCACAAAGGGGGCAGTAAAGCAATAGCAAAGAACTACAGACCGATAGCATAACATCCATATCAAAAAAAATCTTTGAAAGGGTCTTAAGAAGCAAGATCGCCACCCATCTAGAAACCAATCAATTACACAAACCCAGGGCAACATGGGTTTAGAAAACAGGTCGCCCCTGTCTGTCTCAACTATTGGATCACTACGACAAGGCCCTAGATGCACTAGAAGACAAAAAGAATGCAGATGTAATATATACAGACTTTGCAAAAGTCTTCAAGAAGTGTGACCAGGGCGTAATAGCACACAAAATGCGTTAATAAAGGAATAACAGGAAAAGTTGGTCGATGGATCTATAATTTCCTCAAAAACAGAACACAAAGAGTAGTAGTCAACAGAGTAAAGTCCGAGGCGCTCAGGAAAAGCTCTTTTCCCAAACAAGGCAAAATTTCGCCCCATTTTTTCCTCTCCTCATATCTGACATAGACAAGGTTTCACCCCACAGCACCGTGTTTTCCCTTTGAGATGACCCCCCCGAATCGCATGGCATGCTTCCATTGCAGCCCACTGCAAGGCTCCGGCGGACATCAAAAAACTTTTCAGGGGGGCTGCAGAAAAACAAAATGAAGTTCAACGTAGAAATTTCAATTACCAGGTATGGAAACTGAGGAAATTATATCATCAGAGTAAAAAACAAATTCTGGCCACAAAATAGACGAAACACCAACTCAAAGACCGGGAGTGATCAGTCGGGGAATCCCCCTTAAAGACCATAAATTTTTACAATTGCAGCTGCTAGAAAAAGACAGGATGGATAATGAAACCTTCAAAACGGGGATAAACCCATGATACCCTTCGGGTCCTTGTTCTATCAGGCTGGAATATTGCGCACACAAACAGCACCTTTCGGCAGGGAAATTGCGACCTAGAAAATGTACAAGAACCTTTCACGCGGCTAACGGAGAAAAAAACACCTCAATTACGGGGAGCGCTTGGGGTTTCCTGAACCTTTTTTTTCCCTGGAATGCAGGCAGGAGAGATACATGATTATATACCCGGGGAAAATCCAGGGGACTAGTACCAAATTTGCACACGAAATCACCAAAACGAAAGCAAACGATTGGCAGCCGTGCAACATCCCCCCAATGAAAAACAGGGTGCACTAGCCGAAAGAGACCATACAATAATTGTCGGGCCCGAGACTTTTCAACGCCCCCCAGCATACTTGGGGGGATTCCCAAATAGCCCCTGGCATCTTCAGCAGGCACGGAAAAGCACCTAAACGGGTCCCTGACCAGCCGGGGTGGGGCTCGTATGGGGTTTGCGTGCACACAGTAACGCCTTTGATCAGGCTCTGATCCCCCCGGGAGGCCGGGTCACAGCCCGGGCCGCGGGGCGTTGCCCCCACGGAACTCTCCCCAAAGGAAAAACCTGGGTAAAAAAATTTATAAAAACAATAAACGCCGCCAACTCAGTTCTTTTTACCTCGCTGGGGAGCATTCCATGCTTTCTTACTTTTTTTGACAGTCTTTGGGCCCAAAATTTCATTTCTCTGAGCATGGGTCCTAAAAAAGAAGTTTAAAGGCAATGTGGAAAAAGAGGGATGATTTCCAGGAATTAAAGCGAAATCAAAATAAACAAGGATGGGGAACGGGTGAGTTGCTCGAATCGAGCAAAAAATCGACCCAGGGGGGCTCATACTCAAAAAACTCATACATTTGGGGGACTCATAAGTCAAGGTCCCCTGTTTTTCTATTGAAACTATTTAACTTGATTAAAATTACTTGTACTATAATTTTAAAAAAAATGTCAACTTAAACTATTTTAAATTTTTTTTAATATTATGTAGTCTGTAAGCCATTAAGTTTAAATCGCCCATAATGCCTAGGGATATAGTGGGTCTCTTTCTTGCAACTCATTTTGTAATTTCATAATCTCAAGTAACTTGCAGGAAAAAAAAAATTTATTGATTACTGATGTGTAATATAAAGACTTAGTCAGATTCATACCTCCCCTCAGGTTGAGAGATAATATAAAGATCTTAGTCACTCCCCATCCTATCCACGTTGAGTGTGTAAAACAAAGATCTTACCTCATATCCACATCCTTACCTCCCGTGTTGAGAGTGTAATATAAAAATTTACCTGCATCCACGCATCATCCTCAGTGTTGAGAGGCTTCCTCATAAACATCTTGTTTTGAGCTTCAAGAACTTTTTAAAAAGATAGAGAGCTTGGGGCCATTGGAGTAGAGCTGTTGAAATTTATCTCAGCAGCAACCCTTGGCCCGGGCTCGTTCTTCATTTTTATGACCTCAGAAAATGATGCTCACTTAAAAACATCTCTGAGAAAATGTGCAATTATTTTACCCACTCACTCCCATCCTTATCTTGCCAAGGGAGCCATATACAAATTTAAAAAATGCAAAACCCCCCCCCTCCTTCAGAATACTCACTGATTCCTACCTCCCCAATCAAGCCCAGCTAACCATTTCCCTGAATCCCTTCATAAATGTTTCTTTGCTCACACTCCAAAGCAATCACATTATAAAAACCACTTGCTCCACTCCTATCTAACTGCTCTTTCAGTTTGCTGGATGTCCAAGCCCTTTTACAAAAAACCTTTACCCCCCCTCCAACCTTTCCTAGGGTGGCCTCTACCCCCCCTGTCCTTTTTACAGATTTAATGCTCTCCAAGTCATCCATTTTTTTCATCCTCTCTAAATGTTCAAACCACCTCAAAAACCCTTCCTCAGCCCTTTTGGGTAATATTATCATAACCCTGCACCTCCTTTTTAACCCCCAAAATAGAATTCCCCCCAAAAATTTCATACGCCATTCATAGCCTGGTCCAGACTGGGGCTGGGGGGGGATTGACCCCAAAGCCTTCTCCGGTACTCCGTATACGTCTCCACGTTTCCACCTGCTTCATGTTATGGTTGTGGAGATAATAGAGACAGTTGAGCTTTGTTATTGCGCCAATGCCCGGGGTAACAACAACAACAAAAATTCACGCTGTAAATGCCTCAAAGATGTCAGATGATCAAAACATAGGGTATTTTAAATTTTCTCATGCTCCCCAAACCTTAATTCCTCCTTTTCTAAAATTACATTATCACCCACAGGGGGATCATTTAAAAAACAAAGATTACTCATCATCCAAAAACCTATTTATAAAGCCACCTACTGGGGGTTTGACTACTTTGGGTGCCGAGAAAGGAGGGTTGGCATTGTCCTGAGGTGCAACCCCCTTTCCCTTTCACCTGCTGTTTTCATAAAAATTTATTTTAATTTTAAAGGGAAAAAACAATTGGGTGTTTTAAAAACCAAAAGCCCCTTAAAATTTCAGAGACTTCAGGGATACAACTTCAGCAGGGGGACGGGTAGCAAGAGAGAGGGAATTTTATTAGGACAGGATGCGCAGGCCTGGAATGCAGGGGTAAGGTAGCAAAGATTGAGGTGAAAGGGGTGTGAGATGCTAGAGGCTCATCATGAAAGCTGTACAGTAAATCAGTTGCTGTCAAAAATAAAGAAAAGTTTGGGTTAAAGGAGAGCCACAGCAAGAAGGGAAGATAAGATTTCGTTCGGAAATTTTAACCCCCGAGGGTTAGCGCCCCCGGATAAAACCCAAAAAGGCGTGCATCACGTACTTCTGCTTATTTTTTACGGGGCCCCCAATCTTTTACCCCCCGGATGCAACCCACACCCCCCTAACCCTAGATCCCATTTGCTGCTATGAACGGGCAAAAAGGTGCAAGGAAACATGTCAAAATGTTCTACCCCCCCAGGAATCGAACCCGAGCCCCCCATGTGTGAAGCGAGAGCTTTGCCAGCCAGGCCCGGGCCAGTAAAATAAGGGCATAGAGCAGTGACACGTGGAGGGAAATTCTGCTGCTCATAAAGAGGGGAGTCCCAAAAGGTTTAACAAAACTTGAACCTTACAATTCCACAGAGTGGAACAGGGTGCCTCTCCATTTAATACCCCCGAAAAGACAGTGTGGCCCATGCGAAGCAGGGGAAAATGTAGTTTTGAACTAATGATAGAAGACAGCCGAAACTAAAACTTGGTTTAATAAATGCAATTCTTAGAGAAACGACCAATGTTGTTGCCAAAATTGCGAAGGTGGGGAAAACACAGCAAAAAAGTCTGTACTAGAACACCCCTATTGAAACTGGGAGTTCATGTACTGCTGACCCTCACAGTGTCTGTTGTTCACTGCCCTGTATTCAACATGACTGGGGACCCCCAAAAAAAAAATCCTTTTTGCTTCCAAGAACGGCATAACCAAAATGGGGGAAGAATCAGGGGAGAGGTCCCAAATTTCGATAGCCGTAAAACACTAATGGAGTCTGAAATACCACAAACGGCAACAGGGGATAATGAATACAGATAATTTACAAAAAAAGGCTCATTCAGCTGTAAAATGCTAGCCCAGGCTAATAAAGACCTCATACGACACTGCTGGAAAAACTGCTGCAAAATTCGACACTGGGGGGGGCGAAGACTGAAACCATAGGACACTGTGATGCAGAGAATGAGACTAAGGGTTAAGAAAAAGAAAGCAGGAAATACCGCAGGTATTGGCCCCCGCACTGGCAAAGGGGAAAACAAATGAACCATCAAACTTCCCCAAAGGGGGAGGGAAAAATTAGATGTTCATGAACAAAGAAAGGTGGCAACTGAGAGAAGGTGAGCAAATGTAGACAAGGAGAAAAGGGACAGAATAAACAGGGATGGCAAACAAATAAGGAACTTCTATTAACACCCATTACCATCCTATATATGGAAGGATTGCAGAGGTCATGAAAGCAAACAAAACAGGGGAGGCAATGAGCACAGTGATCGGTCAAGGATGGAATATTCACCTCTGCGCGGAGGCGAAATATTCGCATACAGGCTTTTTGCCTCTGCATAGAGACAAAAAGCACCGAGGCATAAATGTAATCCCTGGTAACAGATGGGATCAAGGCTGGAAAGAGTTGCAGGAGAGGCCACTGAATATATCTGGTCGCCATAATCTAGTTTTGATAAAATTAGGGCAGAATGCAGTCAAACGAGAGTTCTATGATCAACCTCCCACGAAAGATGAGTGAGGATTTTAATTCTTTCACTGTCAAGACCCCTGATCACAAACTTGCTCTCAGTGTCGAAGAATTAAAAAAAAAAAAAAACTATTTTTTTCTTATGAAATGATAAAGAATCTTTTCCCAATGGTAATGACACCAAAAGTATGAAATGTGATGGAAAACTTATGGAATTATGCTCTTGCCAAGTTAGTGGTCTCAGCGCTGTCTATGCATCAGCGATTTTGCCCACTCTGAGCCCTATTTTCAGCCAATTCTTTTGTTCCAGTCGACCAAATTCATAGTTTTTTCGCTAGAAGCCCATTTGTTCTATCAAATGAGTACAAGAAATCGCCCATTTATCAATTTTAACTACCCAATAAAGTGATCAGAATTTGGTAATTTGGCCAATTTCATACACAATTCGAATAAGGCCAATTTCAAAATAGGGTCCAGAATTAACAATACAAACATTCCTATCAAATAATATTTTCTCTGTTCATTAGTTACGTCTCCAAGCCCCTCTTATATTATGCTTGCTTTCCATTTTGAATTTTTATTCACACTAAAAAAGAAGATTTACTGTTATGCAGACTACTGCATTATGTAAAAATAGTATATAATAAATATCAGCACATTAGTGAAAGCCTATTAGACCCACCAGTCAATGTGTATTGAACCATGACGTGATTTGTTTACTCTTGAATATTTGCAAAAATCAAACATTTCCACTACTTTGAGCTGAATTTCAAGGTATTTTTAGTTTGTATACCATATAAAATCATCTCTATTTCTGCAATATCTCTTCCATTCTATCAAATGAGATTAAGAAAACAAGAATACAACCATAAATACCATATGAAAATACACTGCAAAATTAGTGTTTTAAACCATAAACACGATCGGAGTTTTTTTTTCCTCATTATGCACTGCATGCTGCAGGATTTTTTTTTATACTGCACAACACTGACCACTCAGGGCCCATTTTCTCATATGTAGGCCTACCAGCTTTCTCCTGCAAGATTTGAAGCCACTAGAATTTTGGCCTAATACTGCAGGACTGACACTGGCTTGCAAACCTTAATTTTACGTGACCAACAGTGAAGGGGCTAAGGGGTTCACCGCTCGCAAGTTCCTTCAATGGGGTTTTTTCCAGGAAACTGACAGTCAAAGAGAAGGGGCTGAGAAACCCAATTATCACGTTCTGGGATACACGAACCACACGGTACAAGGATTACGGGGACGCAGAAGTCTAGTGAAAGAAATTTGGTTGTTTTATACTAAAAAATTTAAAAACCCATGGAGTATTTCCCCAAAGGGAAAAGGGGTTACCATATGCGGGAGAGAAACCGAAATGAGCCAACATCAGCACCTGAAAAGATAGAAAAGTCATCAACATAGAGTGAAACCAAATATTAGAGGGAAAATAGAGCCAGATCTTTTATAAGAAAGGAAAAAAGTGTGGTGCCAACAACCCCCTGGGACACTTGCAGTTTGGACAGTCGGGGAAAGCATATTTTTAACCAACAGGAAAAATGTCCTCTCGGATAAGAGTTTTTAAAGGGAAAAAATGGAAACGGGCCCACAGAGGCCTAAGGAGTGAGTTTGGGGTAAAAGATGTTATATCTCCAAGTTTTTCATATCCTTTAAGATCAAAAAATTGGCAATAACCGAGGGGTTTATTGGAAAAGCATTCGTACATGTGTGTTAAATAGAGAAAAAGATAAATTTTTTTCGGATTTTAACCCCGGAGGTTAGCCCCCAGGATAACCCAAAACCCCAGTGCATCCCCCCGGGGACTGTCTAACTTATTCCTTGGGGGGCTCAACTTTGCCCCCCGGGATGCAAACTCACCCCAGTCAACTAAACCCAGGTACCTATTTGCTGCAGGTGAAGAGGTAACAGGTGAAAGGGAAACGTGTCAAAATGTTTCCACCCGCCGGAATCGAACCCGGGGGCCCTCCGTGTGTGAATTGGGGAGTTGGCCACCAGGCCTTTGAAAACCCAATTGACTATTGGGGACGTTTGTGTGTCTCTAAATCCCACACCAAATGTCTACTTACCAATACTCCAACCCCTTAAACCCACAGGGTAAGGGGCAATGGGCTTTTGTGGGGGGCAAAGGTCCTG